ATATATATATATATATATATATATATATATATATATATATATATATATATATATATATATATCAGGTTTGATAAAATTTATTAATTTTATAATGGAAAAAGTTGAAGAGGAAAAAAGGTCAAACAGATAAACTGTTAGTGTGCATTAAGTTATGTTTTTTTTACTTACTTATTAAGTTATTATGTTCAAATTAAGTACATAAAAAGAAACAACTATATATAGTTACCAAAAAAAATCAAGATTAAGTATCTAACATATTAGGGTTATTAAGTAACAAAAAAGCAACCCCTAAATGCTTTTAGTTTAGTTTGATTTTTTCAAGTTCATTTGATCAATAAATTTAAAACTCGTAGATGGACAAAATAGTGTTGTAATCCAATTCCTAAATGCAAAACTCTTGTGATGTTTTAATTTTGCTGTTGTTTTCTACTTTTAAATTTGTAGTCTTAAGTTTTGTTTAGCAAAAATAAAATAGTTTATTGTAATTTGTTGTTTAGTTTATTTTATCTTATGATTTAGCTTATAAGCTAATTGTTGATAAACTATTTCATACAATTTTACATTGCAATTTAGTTTATAAATAATTTTTATCAAATATTATTAATTTATAAATTAATTTATCAACTACCAACTAGTTTTTCAATTAATCATAGTTTTTTCGGATTAATTTCTTATTAGTTTTTTTTATTAATATAAATACAACTCGCTTAAAAAAAATAATACCCTGAAAAGTCAAAATGACTTGAATGTTGGTTGAAAAGTTAGGTTAAAAATTTATATAGTTTTTTGGTTCATTTAATAAGGCACATATATTGACATTGACCGGTGGCCAGATGCAAAAAAACAAAAAATGGTAGGGGTCTGAATTGCATTTATTAATACTTTACACACATCTTTCTCTCTCTATGTATATAGTATAGCATTAGTTTTTTAAGCTATGTCCAAAAATTGACTTCAAAGTTACCCTTTCTATTTATTTTCTTTAAACTTGCACATTTTAATTCTAATAATTTAAGATTCGGTAAGATCATCAAGATAAAGAAAATCTTTTTATATCTCATGCTTTTTCTATTGAATCTCGAATAAATTATGAGCATAAAAAGTGAAATGAAAGAACCAACCTCCCATAAAAAGAGGATCAAGATTCCTAGTCCATGATGATCAACAAAGTTTTCTAGTTTTCTTTTTCACCCAAGTATCATTTTATTTAGCAAAATATGGTACTTGGTTCAATCATTGTGTTTAATTTTGTATAATATTAAGAAAAGATTACAATTCATATATATTAATGATTTTTACATAAATTATGAAAATGTAACAAAAGTTCTTTGTAATCAACCTTTTTTTTGTTTGTCTAAAATTGTTTGTTTTTTACAAAATAGACTTTTTTCCCATTAGATAACTAATTATTATACAAAAAGAGTCATCATTTATCAAAAAAAAGTGAGACATCAAGATTTGTTTAGTTATAAATATCTAATATATAATATCCCAACACCTAAAAACGATTAATTGCATGTGGAAGAATAATAGTTTAGGAAGATATATGCAAAGACTATAGAAGTTTACTTTCAAAGTTCAAAAGTCTCTACAAAAGAATGATGGTTCCATTGAAAAATGTAACACCAGAAATACCAAACATTACAAAAAACGTTATAAACTTTATTTAAACAAATCTAAGAAAAAGATAATGTGAAAACATGGGATACATGAATAAAACATAACATATGATAATATTATTTAAACATACATTACTTACACAAGAAGAAAATAGCTTTAAAATTTTACGAAATAAACCAAAAGTAGAGATTCTCATACCAAGACACGGTTAATTTGTCCAAACATGCATCCGTAAGAAGACATATATTCAAGAAATATTAATTGCGTAGCTACATGATAATAACACAATCTTAGAAGAAGATCTAAACATTCTTTACTTTTTGCAAAAAAATATTCTAGAAAAGAGAAATCAAACATCAAAACGAAAGGATCATACTTCATACAAAGTTATAAACGATAAATATTGGTTAATTTTATCTGAACATGCATTACATACCTGAG